TGCTGAGATTTGCAGAGGCCATAACAATCAAGCGCCGAAAACCCCTGGTTTGTCAGCAAAAGGAGGTCTACATCAGTTTGGCATTGCGCTGGTAATCACGTAAGCGGAAGAGTGAATTGATACCATGTTAGATAATCAACACCTGTGATATATCAACTGATTTGTATTCTGCAGTAAGCATCAGTTGAGAAGCAGCGAAATGATTCCGGAATTAAATCGTGCTCCCTTGCAGTGTTATATTAGTTGTTCAAGTTTATTTCCGGAAACAATTGCTTTAATAAATGTAAAAGTTGGTACATACGAGGGCTGAGTAACAAGTTTCAGGATACGCAGTACACGACGAGTACGAGGTGCAGATCACCGGAGGGGGGGCAAGGAAAACGTGGATTGCAATCTCGTTCAGTTCAGTTCGTATTGTGAATATTGTTTAGTGATTGCAACTCACACCGAACTAAATGTAAACAACCGAGAACACCGCTCACAAGTCATACGAGGGTCGCTATATACTCGGACTGTAAGAATGGAACTCAGTCGATGTCACTGGAGGGCGATGATTTTCTACAACTACAAACATGGTTTAAAGTAGCAGCAGCAGAGTGTTTATCGTTTTCGAGCTGCCTTTGATGATGACGAGCCTTCAAGCATTGTGTTCNCAAATGTCAAGTGCATGATACGTGGAATCCGACACGAGTTACCAATAGCTGCAGTGGAGGCATTTATTGGTCAAACACTGATCCGCTTCGGCATAGTCGAGCTGTTTGAGCGCATGGAATTATGTGCACGTGAGCGCTGGTGTAGAATACTTCGAGAAAATGTGCTGCTTAATTCTGTGCATCGGGAAACTTTTTACTCAGCCCTGGCATGTATGTATATTTTAAGGACGACGGGCTGTGCTCTCCAGCAACTGCAAACAGCCAACGAGCTTATTAGTTGGTGAGTGAAGCAAATACAACAATGTCCTTCAATGACTCAGTTTTCTGATTTCTGTCCCGCGCGTACCCAAAAAACGCATTCTTCAGTCAAGGTCACTTTCAAATTTTAGACGTTTTGTCATCCAATAGCACATTCCAATCTGAATGAACCCTAATTTCAAAGTTAACTCTTCCAAACAGATGTAATAACGTTTATAGAGTATATTAAGTTTCGTTGAACAGGTTTCCTTCAAGAAATATAGGTGATCCAATCTTCAATGAAGTCCATAGGACATCATTCGAAGGAGAGGGAGTGCGCAATGAAGTATATTTAAAACAGCCGCTTCAGGCACTTGGAGTGAAACTTTTAGGATGGGCTATTATACGGTGCCTCGTGGTGACATATTTCTGAATCCTCAGTTATCGCGTGCTTCGTGTATCTGTTTAACAGTGGATGGGTTAAGAAGGCTCTGAAGTAATCTCTGAAGTCCTTGGCCCGATAATTACTCACAACGGTGCATATTTCGTAGTGTCCCCTTCAGGAGAGCGATACAGATAAGTTTCCGAGAAAATAGTTCTACGTAAATGAGCGTCGAATTCAGTTCCATTCAACGTACGTTCATGCTAAGATGGGATTTTCCGTCCATGTGAACCAGGTTGTGATGGATGCCAGTGTAGTTGATCACATTGTACTGGAGATCAGTCAAGTTTCGTTCAAAATTCGAACGCGCACAAAGTGAAATCATTGAGTAACACATTTACACGCACATAATGAACCACCTTTGGCAAAGTGGAAAACATTTATTTTTGGTAAATCATTGGGGCAATCCTACTCCATTTGACGAACTTACCTGTGCATCGGTGATCTCCCTCAACAAGCGAGCAATGTCATCACTTGTGTAGATTGCCTCATCACTGCCTGCGGCGAAACAGTGAAAGCTGTTCGTGTCCCGCGTATTGGCCAATTGGGCTAGAAATTGACTGACTGTGGGATTTCGACTGTCATAGTCAACCAAATGCAATCGGGGTGTTCGATAGCCAGCCAAAATTTGTTCCGTATAATTGATTATATGTGGTCCGGCCTGATCTGGACAACTTCCACACACAATAACAATACAATCCAGAATGCGACGACCGTGTCTCAACAACTGATGGAGAGAATTGAGATAGGGTTCAAGTAAGAAAGTGTGCAGACACTGTTTGAAACAGTTCACCTCAAAGGATTGATAGTTGTGTATCATTTTTATTATATACTCACCTATACAAACTGTGATACAAACCACTTATCCTCGCTATACATCTTAGTCAATATTATTGACTCTTCTAAACTAAACACCAATTCAGTAAAAACTGTCATATACTGTCATTTACAAACAGGGGACCGAAAATTCAGGTCTTAAATACATATGACAACTTTGTGGCATTACTTATACGAATAAAAGTCTCGTTTTCTGACAATTTAAAACAATTTCCCGGTCATCTTAAGATATTTCCACTGAGAAGACAAGTTATTGTTGTACATGAGGAAGTGTGATCACCAAGACAGATAGTTTGATCATTGATACACATTGATATTTGATTATGTTCGTTCAGTCTTCTGTACACTGATTGTTCTACTATAGCGCAGTTTCTGTGCAATAAACTGCTGACAGAGTTGCCGCTCCGTTAGGCCGGGGGAGGGGGATAGGGTAGAGGTATTTGACGTTTTATGTGGTCGGTAGAGGCAAGCACCAAATGAGGATGGCTGTGGTCTTCATCAGTCGTGCGTTATTATGGGAATAAAGCAACCTGGTATTCAGTACCTTACCTCCGGAAGCCTCAGAATGATCGAGGCTTGGTATCTCATGTTACGGCTGGTCACTCCTCCTTTTTACCTCGTGGAATGCTCTTACACAACTAAGCGTCTCAAACAGCTTGTGCTGAGGAAGCTCGGCATGTTGCCTTTCCTTGGCGGAGGTGTTATTCCCATCAAAGAGAGAGGACGAAAAGCCGATATACGGGTTGGCGGACCACTGATAGTTAGCAAAAAACCATAATTCCAAACCAACTGAGAAGAGGTGTATGAACCACGCACACATTTTACTGTTAGTGGTCACCTGCTTGTCTGGGTATCGAGATGTATTGGGCCCCTTGGAAGTTTTACCCCGGATCGTGAGTCTCACATACCACCACACTGCCTTGCAAGTCTGGCTTTGGTTAGCCGAATGCTCCAGTTGTGAATTACACAAGAAAATTCACCTGCTTTGATCTAACAATATCGTGTCCTCGAGCAAATAATGGACCTCCTTTGTTTTTTACCAATACTTTTGTACCACGATTTGTCTAGCACAGTATGAAATCATATATATATATATACATATATATATATATATATCCAGGTCAAATCAAAACCGAAGCAACGGGTCCCTGTGGAACACTTGTCGGTTCGTATAGGCAACAGCATTTATACTGGAGTAAATTTTTTCCAAATATTAATGAAACAAAACTTGGTAAATCGTTATAGACGTGATTTTTCTGATTCATTTATACTCAGCAGATGGAATGGTTCAGAATGTAGCGGAT